TGGATGGGCCAAATGTTTGTTGATACTAATAAAGTAAGCTCATCAATGATTTACACAATTAATTTCCAATGGAAGTTTAAATGAAGTTCTGTCACTTTGGATTAGAGAAGAAAGCTCTTTATGTATCATATGTTTACAGGAACAGATCTCCACTTTCCTACCAAAAAGATAACCTATTAGAAGTATTTGCACATTCTGAAAATGTTCCCTTCCACCCTCAGATTCTTAATCATTGTCTATAAATTAAGCAGAAGTTGGTAATTTATCTACAGGAATGTTTAGCAGCATCGACAAAGGCAGATTTTAATATTAGTCTACATGCAACATCTTCACTCTGAAAACAGCTTGGTCAAGTACCTTCTCTGCAGCTCGGGTAAGTTGTTATATTTCAGATTTTTATGTATAAGTACGACTGGCCAACTTCATTCTAAAGTGGCAAGATTTGGCCTGCTAAAGTTCTGTTGCAGTCCAGGCAAAACAAAATGGCTCCCATTTCATGTCTAAAACTATTGAATCTTTCAGGTTGTAAGAACAATGGAATAAGGGATCTCCATCAGACAGGAGCAAGAGGCCAGTTTAGTGGCTGGAGAATATAATGTTCCAGAGACCACTTTGTACTCCAAGGTAGGGAGGTAGGAAAATTCAGGAAGGATGGCTTGGGAACAGGAAATGTCTTAGTACTGTTCCCATTGCTCCCACAAATTTCTTTGGTTCCAAGACAGTCACAAAACAAGCTTAACCAATCATAATTACATCACTATATCTTTTTCCTTGGCTTCTTGGCTAAGATACTCTCTCTCTCTCTCTCTCTCTCTCTCTCTCTCTCTCTCTCTCTCTCCCTCCCTCCCTCCCTCCCTCCCTCTCTCTCTCTCTTTCTCTCATATCACTGCATAGACTCCCATTGGATGACCCTTGCAGTTTAATCTGAGGCAGGATTGGAACAAGGACGAATCTATCAGTGGTACATGGAATTACAGAAACTCTTTCAGTAGAGCAAGTCTCATTTTATTCTATTTCTACACATGTATTACTGAGCCAATTCTGTTGTGGTTTATTGGCTGTATCATACAATTTGGCCATTTCCCCACCAGTGACATAGTGTCTTGCAGAAACATTCAACCAACCAATAATGTACCAAAATAAAAAGAATAAGGACAGATTTTACATCCTTTCCATTCCAGCAGGTCAATACCTCACGTCTCTATTGGAAAAAATAGCTCTTGACTTTTAGTCAAGCCTCATAGTAACCTTTGATTTGCTTTTAGAAGTTCAAACTTGTTTATTACTTATTATTATTATTATTATTATTATTATTATTATTATTATTATTATTTGAATTTATATACCGCCCTACTCCCGAAGGACTCAGGGTGGTGAACAGCCAAAAGATAAAATACATATAATACAAATATTAAAAAATCATTAAAATACAATTAAAAAATTTGGCCCAGAAAACAAAATTTAAAAACCCCAATTTTATAAGACAAATTTAAAATTTAAAAAATTTAAAAACAATTTAAAAAAGAGGCTAGGCCAGGCCGGCCTGCTGGAATAGGAATGTTTTAAGGGCACAGCGGAAAGCGCGCAGATCAGTGATCCTCCGTAAATCTGGGGGGAGCTCATTCCAGATGGCAGGTGCTCCCACAGAGAAGGCTCTCCCCCTGGGGGCCGCCAGTCAACACTGTTTGACCGACGGCACCCTAAAAAGCCCCTCTCTATGGGAGCATACTGGTCAGTGAGAGGCTACTGGTGGCAGAAGGCGGTCTTGTAAATACCCCGGTCCTAGGCCATTGAGCGCTCTAAAGGTGGTAACCAAAACCTTGAAGCGCACCCGGAAGACCACCGGGAGCCAGTGCAGCTCGCGCAGGAGGGGGTCACATGGAAGTGCCACATCGCTCCCATAACCACCTGCGCGGCCGCATTCTGGACCAGCTGGAGCCTCCGGGTGCTCAAGGGGAGCCCCATGTAGAGAGCATTGCAGTAGTCCAGGTGGGAAGTGACGAGGGCATGAGTGACCATATTTAACGAGTCCCGATTCAAAAAGGGACACAACTGACGAATCAGGCTAATCTGATAAAATGCCCTCCTGGCCACAGCCATCAGATGCCCTTCTAAAGACAGCTGTGAGTCCAGGAGGACATCCAAGTTGCGGACCCTCTCCATGAGGGCCAACGACTCGCCTCCAATAGCCAGTGATGGCACCAACTGACTATATCGGGATGTTGGAAACCACAGCCACTCGGTCTTGGATGGGTTGAGCCTGAGTCTGTTTCTCCCCATCCAGATCCGTACAGCCTCCAGGCACCGGGATATCACTTCAAGGGCATCATTGGGGTGGTCCGGGGTGGAGATGTACAGCTGAGTGTCATCAGCGTTTATACATCTCTGACTTTATTTTGTTAGCCCAAAGAAACTTTTGTGTGCAATTGGATTGTGCTTTACTGAAGTATGGCTTTGTTAGTTTATCTCTTCAGTAGCATCAAATATACAGTAGTAATTTAGCTTTAGTTACTGGAGTCAACAGTAGCCTTTAACATAACTAAAAACATATACAATAATACCATATGTCTAGGATTATGGTTGGAAATGAATTCTTTGATTTCTTAGCTTAGAAATAAGTCTGATATGAAAATAGGAATGGTTACAATTTCTATACGATGCACAATAGGGAATAAATCAACAAAACAGGGCAAAATTGGATCTTTGTATTCACAACCTGTAGTTAGCTGTGAGTTGTTGATGAACATAAAGGAAAATTGGAAATATATGGCATGCTGCCATGAATTTATCTCCATGGTAAATTTTGTTAGCAGAACACTGCAGCACGGTGACTAATGAAATAAACTCATTTAATCTGGCTTGTCGTTACACAAAAGATTAAAGAGTAAGTATGTTAACTGTACAATCTACCATCTTCCCCCATTTCAAAAAATAAGGACAAAATATTTGTGATAGACATGGTAACAAGGTATTTTCCTACCTGGGTAAGATGTCCAACTCAGCACATGCATAACCAGTTTGGCAAAATAAATGAGTGCTGTACTACTTTATTGTCATCAATTGTCTCTCTTATGGTACTAGAATATTCACATTAACCAACGTTCACAAGAGCTGCAGTGGCGCAGTGGTTAGATTGAAGTACTGCAGGCTACTTCTGCTGACAGCCGGCTGCCTGCAATTTGGTAGTTCAAATCTCATCAGGTTCAAGATTGATTCAGCCTTCCATCCTTCCGAGGTGGGTAAAATGAAGTCCCAGATTGTTTGGGGCAATATGCTGACTCTGTAAATCACTTAGAGAGGGCTGTAAAAGCACTGTGAAGTGATATATAAATCTAAATGCTATTGCTATCCAGTGGTACCTTGGTACTCAACTGCTTTGAACTCATTAAATTTGGTACTCAATGTGTTCTGATGTGAAACTTTTGTACTCATTGTTTGTTTGGTACTCAATGCATAAGCTAGAACTTGTTGATGTTGGCTACCTTGTAACTCACTACATTATTCCTTATGGGAAAAATTTGTTTGGTACTTATTGTTTTTGTTCTTCATGGTGCCTCCTGGAGCCAATTAACAATGAGTCCTGGGGTACCAATGTACTATTTTAGTTACTTGTTTATATACAATGCTATAAGCAGATAATTATAGGAGTGAAAGTGAACACTTTCATAAAAGTGTTTATCAAAGAATTGATGCAACCATGTTTTATTGATTTTCTTTAAAAAACAACAACAACACCTATTGTCAGGGTTCCAAGTAACACCCCCAATGAAAGAAGGCTCCGAGGCTAGAAGTTCCTCAAAGTTCCACTTTATTAGAGATGTCATATTGGCACATCTGGGAAAACCCGAATCTGAAAGCTTCTGGGTTTTTCCTACCCAAAAGAAAGTCAAAGTCCTTTCCCCCTGCACCCACATGTTCATCACATGGTCCAATCAATCCACCGTCCCAACTGGACGGTGCTCCTAGTCGCACCACTCCAGGTGCAGGCTGAACGTCCTTGACTCCCAGAGAACAGAATGTTATTATGGCTAGATATCTCTACAACTCCATACAATCCCCCCTCCCAGTTTCCCACAGCACTAAGTGCGGCAGCCCTGAAGGTCCAAAGAAAAAGATGGCCTCCAGGACTGACACTTTCTTTGAAAGTGAAACAAACAAACAAAAAATCTTCTGAGCAAGATTCATCTAATTCACTGAGCCCGTATTTCGATTCTGAAGTTAAAATTCTTTTTTTTTTTTTAATGTTAAAGCAGTGAGGCCAGAAGTGGGATTCACATAATTTACCAACCTGTTTTCCCAGCACTGAAAATGTGAGCTTGTGCACTTTCCGTGTATGCGCTCAGCCTCAAAAACATGCCTAAATAGGACAGCATAGAGCTGGGGTAGGTGGCTGGGCCCACCCGCGATTTCCGAACCGGCTGAATACCACCTCTGAGTGAGGCTATGCAGCAAGATGTTAAAAGTTTCTAAGAATCTTGCTGGAAGTGAGAAGGAAACCTACGAACCCCAGGAAGTTACTTTCTCCACACTGTTGTAGTTATGGAAATAACATGTTTTCTTCCATCAGTGTGTTCACTTTACATTATTCAGCACAAAGCTTTGTAAAATAAGAATCCTGGGAATATCACAATATAAAGGGGGAAAAGGTACAAATAACAGCTTCATAAACCAAGAAATGAACATAAATAAATCATGCAGATGGGCCCGTTTGCTTAGCTGGCAAGAAACAAAATATAGAAAATCTGCTTGTTAAACAATAACCACAGAATGTGCTTTTATGATGTTTTTTTTTTCCTTCTTCCTTTCTTCACCACAGTAATTCATATTAGAGAGCTAGAAGCGGTTGCATGTTAAATGAAATCATTCAGCTTTGTTCTGCTCGTATTGCAAACAGCTGACTTATGTTGTTTTAAGATGCCTCCCATTAGAAAGCAAATATCCCTCCAATGTTACACATCTCACCAAATTTAATAAATATGAACTGTAAATAAAGTCACAGGCAAATTTCAGACAGTTTTATTAGCAGATTGTTGAAAAGGAGGAGGAGGAGAAAAAAAGAGAGAGAGAGAGAGGAAAATTAAATACGATAGCAGGAAACGTGGCTCTGAACATGAAACCAAGCTCAGATTAACTAGACTACGATAGAAAAATTATCCAATTCTTGCAATATGATGTAAAAACAGATTTTTTTTTGTACAGATTTTGTACAACAAAATTCATAATAACTTTTTTTCTCATTTTTAGAAAACTTTAAATATATAGATAAAAATAGACAATTTTCATAGGTCCTACATGAAGATGAGAATGTTCTGTTCCAAAGGGTTGCATAGAACGCAGAAAAGGTGATTATAATATAGAACAACTAGAACATTTAATATCTTTAAGAGTACAAAAAGCATTTAAACAATAACATGAACACAACGTTTCTTCATATTCTAGGCAAAAGAAAAAAGAAAAACAAAAAAAAAAGGTCTTGAGTAACTAAAGGCAGAAGAAACCCAAATTCATTTTACGGTAGCATTTCATGAACTGTAATATTTACACGTGGTTTAACAAGATATACGTCTTCTCTTCATTTAGCATTTCCATTGACTTGTGTACCAAAGCAAACAATGATTAATACCCATGGTGTCTCTAAAGAATACACTGTAAAAATGATCACACCAACTTATGGGTGGCTTTCATTTTATTATTTTTTTTGCCAGGACGAGAGGAATGGTAGATTCTGGAACCACTGTTTTGTCAGTGAAGTGAATAACCAAAAATCCCTTGTATAGAATTAGCCATTTGCCACAAAAGTTCATCCAATTATAACTGTTAACCCTTTAAAGACTGCACAACTTTCTTTCAAAAGATAAGAAATATTTAAGATTTTCTTAACTGTTTATGATTTAAAAGGAACCTTCAAAGGTAACGAAGGCTTTGCTTTGTGTTTTCAACGATAGTTTTTTTTTTAAGACGTAAAATGAAGGCGTGGTCTCGATGCATGCCAAAACGAACAGAAATCCAGATTGAGAAGCCCTCTTAAAAATTTGCCTTACCCGGCAGATTTTAAATCTGGACACGCTGTAGGTCATCCAGATGATTAAGCACTTGAAGGTTCCCAATTATGAATTCGTAGAAAAGGCGTTTTCTGCGTAAAACATTAAAGATCCAGAAAGCCTGGAGCATCCTTCCAAGTGGTCTTTAAAGGGGTAACTTGGAGAAGTCGGCCGAGCCAAGGAGAAAATTTAAGATGTACAAAACACTCGGTTTCAACTCGCTTCCAGTTATGAGCACAAAGGTGAAAAACAGGAGACTGTTTTTTTTTTTTTTTATAAAGACAATAAAAATAACACGGAACCGCCTACAATGGTGGGTCAAAAGGACAAAAGACTGAAGATCATCACTTAGCTCTACGTGGTATTGGACTGATACATCAAATGTCTTTACAGCCTTGGGGACAATTTTTTTCTCCCCGGCAAGGTTGAAGTAATATGACATTAATATAGAAAAATATTTCTGGGGAGTTGACTTGATTTGGGGCCACAATTCACTCGGAAAAGTGTCCCTTTTTTTTTTCAGCATATACATATAAAGGTGATCACCCCTCCCAGATGGTTAAGATTCCCTTCATTAACACTGTGACTTCAAGACAAATATTTACATGCCTGCATGCGTTAAAAATTAGGAAGATGGTGTTTGGATCAACAGGGTGACAAAACATATTCTCTAAAATTGTTGTTTTCCTAAAATCTAGTATACTACTGCATACATAATATTTTCTGTGAGTGGTTTTTGTGGTTATATACTATACACCTGAACAGTTTCAGAAATGAGGAACAACTTGTCATCCCTCTTATACTGACAGTTTAACATGAGAAATTATAAGCATTCTTCTTCTTCTTCTTCCTCTTCCTCTTCCTCTTCCTCTTCCTCTTCCTCTTCCTCTTCCTCTTCCTCTTCCTCTTCCTCTTCCTCTTCCTCTTCCTCTTCTTCTTCTTCTTCTTCTTCTTCTTCTTCTTCTTCTTCTTCTTCTTCTTCTTCTTCGTCTTGGGATTACTGCAAATCGTACATAATGCTGTTCAAACTCTGTACTTCTTTTGTTTAAGTTCTTATAAAGTACGCCTTGGTCTCTTGCAAAGACTGTGTAAAAGAACCCATTTCCCAGAATTTGGACCAAAAAAGAAAAGAAAGAAAGAAAATGGTATATAACATTTTGTTTTGTGTATTCCTAACCTCAGGTTTTATGTTTTTTTGTTTTGTTTTTAGGAATCTTCTGATGTCCATTTGAGAAATATTCATTTTTTTTTTTTTTACCATCTTGCTGGTTTGGCATAAGAGTGCTTAACATGAGAAGTGGAAGATTTCCTTGATGTGCCTAAAAGATTCAGAAGAGAATAACAGTTCTTATTCCATTGAAATGGGAATACAGAGTTCTGCTCTGGAGTCTCAGTACAGAGTTCCTGGTAGCTACTAGAAAGCTACACAAGTTTGTAGAAATGTCTTCCGTAACACAGGATGGAGCTTGGACAATGCAATGAGGATGCTCCCATCAAACACTTAAAATCTCCGCACATGGCTATGTGAAGTGATAAAAGTTTTCTGCAAAGCACCTTCCCCATTTTTCTTTTGCAGAACTTTGAAACACTGGATGTTTTACTGCAGAGTCCTCTGGCTTGGTAACACACATTGTTCCGACTGAACAAACTCAGTACATAACAGTAGTTTTCAGATAAAGTCTTCCATCTGAAATAGGCACAAGAAAGACGTTAGCAAACTCTTTCTCACAATCACATTCCCATAGTGTATTTCATCTTGTAGAATAAAATGCATTTCTTATCTATTGAGAAGGTTCACATTACATTAATTATGGAAAATTATTATTATTAAAATGTTCTCCAGGTGATACCTCCCACCCACAAGATTAGCAAAAATGAACAGGAATTCATCACCACAATGTTGGAAGCGCAATTTAGAATCAGGATCTTTCTATCTCATGTGGTGGTTATGTATAAAAGCCAGGGAATTTTGGCATCAGATAAAGACATGGTTGGAAGAGATACTACACAAGGGATCTGCAACCTTAAACATTCAAAGAGCCATTTGGTCCCGTTTTCCACAGAAAAGAAAACACCGGGAGCCACAAAACCCTTCCTGTGCCTGATTATTTCTTGAGCAGCCACAAAACTAGCATATGTAGTTGAATTAAATGTTCTGTTTTCTTCTGAAACTTTTATTTTCTTGGATTTATCCATGGTTGGCCGACTGGGGATTGAAAAGCTCAATAAATTGTGTGCTGGCGGTGGTGACGCATATTTTGAGTGACAGGGAGCTGCAGCAGAGAGGTAAAAGAGCCACATACGGCTCCAGAGCCACAGGTTGCTGACCCCTGTACTAAACCAAAACATAGATTTGAAACCAGAACTATTCCTATTAGGAATCACGAAAGAGAAATATAGCAAAGGATTGATATACTTAATACTGCATGTTATAACAGCAGCAAGATTGGTTTATGCGCAATACTGGAAAAAGGAAGACACCTCCCCCCCCCCCACCACCGGAATTAGAAATAATAAAGAAAATCTTGACATTTCTTGGCTCTTGACATAAGAGCCTTGGTGGCGCAGCAGACTAAAGTGCTGTTCAGTAACATCAGCTGCCTGCAATTACTGCAAATTCAATTCTCACCAGGCTCAAGGTTGACTCATCCTTCCATCCTTTCAAGGTAGGTAAAATGAGGACCCGGTTTGTGGGGGCAATAAGCTGACTTTGTATAAAATAGAACACCGCTTGGGGGGGGAGCAAAAAAGCCCTACTAAGTAGGTATATACAAAAGTATGAAGGCTATTGCTTAATGCATTGTAAGCTGCCCTGAGTCTCCGGAGAAGGGCGGCATATAAATCAAACTAATAAATAAATAAATAAATAAATAAATAAATAAATAAATAAATAAATAAATAAATAAATCCCCTTTTTAAATGGAAATTTTAAATTTGGTTTTAAATTATTGGGGTTTTAAATTTGTTCAGCCAAATTATTTAATTCGTTTTAGTTTATTTTAAATTTTGTATCTATATGTTTTATTCTATGGCTGTTCACTGCCTTGAGTCCTTCGGGAGTAGGGCGGTATACAAATTCAATAAAATATAAAATAACATAAATAAAACAAATGTGCAGAAATGGACAGGCTGACACTAGAATTCAAAAACAAGGACGAGACAGATTACTATAAAATTTGGAACAAAGTGTACCAATGGTTGGAAAGGAGAAAAGGAGTTGGAACAAAAAAGGATTTAAGGTTCATAGAACTGACACCGGACAATATTTAAGCAACTATGTAAATGAGGACAAGGGATATGTTTATAAGAACAAAGTAGCAATGTATGTTAAGTAGTAATTATATTTGTTGTTACGTTAAAAAAATTATGGAAAAGTCATCAAGATATGGAGACTGATAGGTACCCACAAAAATTATACTCCTTTAAGAAATCTTTCATATCTAAACTAGTTGTTTGAAAGAATTTCTCCTGACTGTGATGCTTTTATAACGAGGAAAAACTTGAAATTGGTTCACCCAACCCATTGCAAAAACCCACGTCAAAACTCACGTACAAAATCACATATAACCGTGTCAGTCAGAGGTTTCAAATTCCATCTGGTTTTTTTTGTTTGTTTGTTTTTTTAAGCAATAAAAAGAGTTGGTTGGAGTCAACAGGCATTTAAATCGAATGAGTTCAATGAAGAAAAGCCACTAAACATTCACACAATGGACTAAAATATAAGTATTTTGGGAGACTTTAAGAGAAGGGCGCTTGATGGGCTCCTGGAAAGATAAATGCTAAATATACCAAAATAACTTTTTTGAATGCAGATCACATCTGGCCTACAACACTGGAGTGAGTAAAAAGGCCTACGGGGAAGCAGGTGTTTCCCACCCCAAAAATAGCTCTTTGCCTCAAACACTTGGATAAAATTCTTTCCTCTGACAGTCTAATTTTATAAACCCACAGGCTGATGCCAGTTTGTGTTAATCAGTGGTGAAATGTAAAATTTGTTATTACCGGTTCTGTGGGAGTGGCTTGGTGGGGGGGGGGGGTTATTTTGTTTGGGTGGGCATGGCCAACTTTTTTTTTTTTTTTTTTTTTTACTTTTAAAAGCATTTTTTTCTACAACCTCTTTGGTGGAAGTTGTAAAAAAAAAAATGCTTTTAAAAGGCTCTGACGATCCCAGCTAAGCCGCACGATGCAACAATAGGCAATGGCAATCCCTGCAGCCTGAAACAGCTGAGAGTCGGGAGGCCGATCCAATGGGCACCAAGGGGCCTTGGTGGTGCAGTGGACTAAAGTGCTGTTAAATAGCACTTAGCTGCCAGTTGCCTGCAATTATTGCGAGTTCAAATCTCACCAGGCTCAAGGTTGACTCAGCCTTTCCTCCTTTCGAGGTAGGTAAAATGATGACCCGGATTGTGGGAGCAATAAGCTGACTTTGTATAAAAAAGAACACCGCTTAGGGGGGGGCCAAAAGCCCTACTAAGCAGGTATATACAAAAGTATTAAGGCTATTGCTTAATGCATTGTAAGCCACCTTGAGTCTCCGGAGAAGGACGGCATATAAATCAAACCAATAAATAAATAAATAAATAAATAATCAGAGGCTTTTTTTTTTTACTTTTAAAAGCATGTTTTCTTCTGCCGAAAAAATGCTTTTAAAAGTTTAAAAAAAAAAAAGCCTCTGATGATCATGCGACTCAGTTGGGCATGGGGGAGGGCAGGGATTTTTGCTACTGGTTCTCCGAACCACCTGCCGCCATTGTTACCGGATCAGGTGATCCGGTCCGAACCGGGAACATTTCACCCCTGGTGTTAATAGAATAATACAGTCATGTGATGACTTCATCTACTCCAGAATCTACTTCCAGAACTCTACCGACAAGAGAGGATTTTTCCCCATAGAAAGCCGCAAAGTTCTTTGCAGCTGGAGTCATTCCTGCTTCTTCAGACAGCAAAGAAGGGAGGGTGCATAGAGGTTTCCTTCCAATGAGAAAAGAAAGTTATATTACACCTGCCCTTATTTCTGAATATACAGTAGTGGCCAAAATTATGAAAACCTTTTGGGAAAAATATATTTGCTAAAACTAGCTAATAACACCACTTTTTTGGGGGGGGGAGTAGTACATAAAATTATATATCAATGGCAAGATAATTTAATCAAGAATGTAACGCAATAACTTTTAGGAAGGATTTGCTATTAGAATAGCAGTTACAGTATAAAGAAGGAAAGTGAAATACATAGAAAAAACGAGATATACAAAAATTATCACCATAGAAAAAATGAAATATACAAAAATTATCACCATGTCAGTTAATACTTAGTTGGGTAACCTTTAGCATGAATTACGGCCTTACAACGTCTTCCCATGGAGTGAACCAAGTCTTTTAGTTCTGCAGCTGTTGGAATGTGAAGCCGTAATTTGTGTGGCCTCATTCCCAACAGGCCATGGACCACAACCGGGCTGAAGAGCAGGGATTGGGTAGCTCTATTTTATAGGATTAATTTCAGTAAAATGAAGCACACACATTCAGAATCTTGTTCCCAAGCAGAGCCATCAGAAATCCAGGTGGAAGTTTTGAATCAAGGCTAAGTCCAGAAATGGGAGGACAAGTTATTCCAGACAAGGTATCATACAGGATTCCATATTCATCTGAACAATCACGAAGGGAAGTTTGGTTCCAGCAATTTATTGATGGTTATAGTTTTCCATAATCTCAGAATAGACTTCTTGGTTTGTTGTAGAACAGCCTTCTCTCTGTCTACTCAAGGATGAATGGATTTTTGGATTCAAAGGTCCCATTGGACTTGTGTATGGTATCATGGGACATCTTCTGCCAATGAGTAGAGCCAGGTCTCATTTCAGGAGGTGGACTTAGGGGTCTTATGGAAGAATTAAAAACCCTAAGGAAGCCAAGAGCCTTGAGGTCACCTTTCTCCATTTATAATCTCTACCAAAGGAAGAAAGAAAGAGCTTAACATTGGGCATCTGCCCATTTGTAGCTTCTAGAAGCCATGATGTGGGCATCACAGGACATTTGGATGGCACTCTTTCATTCCTAATGAGGACCCAGATTGTTGGGGGCAATAGGCTGACTCTGTCAACTGCTTAGAGAGGGCTGTAAAGCACTATATAAAGTCTAATAGTTTAATAAGACTGTATTACTATTATTCTTCTCTTCCTTACTAGTATCTATCTCTTACCACTTGTCACTATAACCATGTTGCTTGTATCTTTCAATTATATTGTTTTTACTTGTTTCCTAGTACGATTTGATAGCTTATTAGTTAGTATCCATGACTATCATAAATGTTGTATCTTTTTATTCTTGATGAATGTATTTTATTCTTCTTATATACACTGAGAGCATATGCACTAAAGACAAATTCCTTGTGTGTCCAATCACACTTGGCCAATAAAGAATTCTATTCTATTCTATTCTATTCTATTCTATTCTATTCTATTCTATTCATTCTATTCTATTCTATTCTATTCTATTCTATTCTAATTAAAGGAAGGCATTTCCTCTCAGTAGGGAAGGTTATCGAAAATAGCAGCTATTTTGTTTCCTCTGAATTTTTTATTTTTTTATTTTTTGCAGGCATCTAATGCTATTTGCCATCTTTCATTTAACAGCTGTACAAGAAAGCTCCTAAGCACACAACCCCTTCATTCCGATGTTGATAAAAGCATCTGT